GATTTTTTATGATGTCTGATTCCGAAATCACAAATTTTGAGCTTCACGTATTGCTGCGTCATTATTGGAGAAAGAATTTGGATGCAAAATCAGCTGCCAAAGCAATTTGCGACGTTGAAGGTGAAGGTACGGCGGCACCGCGAACTGCATAGAAATGGTTCAAGCGTTTCAAAAATCAATAAATTTTCATAATAGTCACAAAACCAGATCAAAAACACAAAAAAAAATATATAAAAAATCATTATTTTAACACGGTGCAGGAACTTTTTCCTCAACCTAATACTCATTTTTAAGCTGCACTCTTTGTAATATCACGTCTAGGATGAAGAATAATCAAAAGCAAACATTTTTCCAGCTGGTTTTCCATACATAGTTATACACCCGGTTAATCTGCAAATATCCAAAATGTTCGATATCCTTTGAAAAAACTCATTTCTTAACATGGAATTGGTCAATCATAAATATCACACACATGCGTTGTCTGTGTATCCAATTTCATGTTAAAAAATGAGTTTTTTTCCAAGGATAATGAACATTCTCGATATTTGCAGATTAACCGAGTATGTATCTCCCATACACAAAATTCTCTCTGTTTCCCACTAGGATTCTATAAGATTGTAATATGATTCTAGTTGAAAATCGACAAGAAGTGAGTGATAACAGATATGATAAATGCAGTTTCAAGAGTTCATAACAGTTTCTAAAATTGTAAAGAATTTCAAATATATAATCTTTTTTACGTTTCTACATCAATTTCTATGAAAAAAGACACGAACAGTGGCATTGTATACACTTTGCTCTCTTGTGTCCCTCGAGCAGAAAGGTGATACATCTCAGCAAAAACTAAACAGAATCCTTATCAAGTATAGCCAAAAGATAGACATACTCTTGTCGATTAGCGTATCAAAAAAAAAAGATTAAAGCTTATTTCGTTTCACAAATTTCTGGTATATTCATTTTCCATACACTTTATTCCACGAGTTGTTCGCTTTTGCTTGATTTCTATCTCCGTAAATACTGAAGTATTAATGTTCATTTCTTTACCCTTTTTTTCGCTTCTACATACCCTGTACTCAAAATATTCTATAATTATTGAGAAAACTGAATTTTACTGCAAAAATGTGCAGCGAGTTTTTTCTAAAATGTTCCGAGAGTATTACGCTATGATACTTTGATGAAAATGTGATCAAAACTCAACCTATTATATACCATTCAGTTTGTCTTCACAAAGACTGTCTGATGGTAAATATTTTAAGGTTTCATAACATGATTTGTATTCACCTTTGACCGAAATTCAGCTAGATCCTGAAAAGTGCTGGTTCTGCTTCAATGATGTTGAAATGAATGCTCTAACGGACTGAGTCAGCCCTACACGGGTTATCAACATCCTTGTTCAATAGAACGGGACATTCCACAAAAAATGAAAGTGACATTAGGGAAAACTATTCTTTTGTTTTTGTTAGGACTTCCGCATATCGATGAGATCGTCAAAAATAGGTTCATACGAAGTTTATTTTCGCGGTGTTTTTCTATATGAACGGTACAGTGGTAGCGCGCATCACTCAAGATCATAGGATCTTATCTAGGATTCAGTCACTGCATTTTCTTGTTAAGATCCGATTCAGATGTTAATAGAATGTTAGTAAATCCTAGGACTTGGAGACATCCCGGATTCTATAGGATTTTTTCTATATATGTTAAGATCCTACCTAAATGTAAAATAAATCGGAAAAGAATTCTCGTAGAATTTTTAAGATCCTATAAAGAAATGTATAGGTTTCTTACTAGGCTATGTGTTGAAAAGCGTTTTTGATTATTCTTCATCTTAGACGTGATATTACAAAGAGTACAGCGTAAAAATGAGTATGTTATTTGAACGAAGAACTTCAAAAATCGATGAAATGAAGAATATATTGAACTTTAAGAGACTTTGCAAGGGATGGTTTCACCAAATGTAGTTCTCACACAAGAAATATTTCTCGATTGTTATACTCGTTTAATTTAGTAATATGTTTTTCTTATACATTCAATTTTGAGTCATTTGTATGCTAAATAGCGCTAAGTTCAGATCTGAAAGACGCAGACTGAAAAAATGTTTCATTAAACGATATGATCATTTAACTGATTCAGTTTACCTATTGAGACATCAAACCAAAAATAATATTTTTTCTTAAGCTACTCAGGTTTTGAGAATAAGAAAGTCACAACACTGAGGGCCAACAATTGGCATTTTAGCCATATATGGGACTTTCTTTAAAAAAAAAGCAAGTCTTTCAGCCGAATTCAAGCACATAGTGATGATTCCGTACAAAACTATATCGGGAACAACTTGTCCTTGCTTTTATTTCTATAATCTCGTCGAAAATTTCTTGAAAAGTAATGTCTTAGTTGGATAATTATGAACTACTTTTAATGACTACACATTTCTTTTGAAAATGTAGGTTCAACATGCTGCTGCTCTGAAACTTTTCAATAAACAAATCGCCATTATCGTTCTTAAATAACCGAAAAGAATTCAAGAATACTCACTTCGCGCACCTGCTAAAAATGTATCCTTCATTCTATAAAACTGTTCAAGTATTTGTGTCATAGTGGCTTCTCATTTGAAGACTTAAGCGGGCAAAGAAAATGCTTTTAAAATCAAACTGGAGCACTCCAAATGGCGTACACAATATACATTTATCAATTAGAATAGTAAATGTGAGTATATTCTCACAGTACATTGACGACAAAATAGCTATTTCTTTTCTCTCGCTTAAAAACTATAATCTCAAACACATGTACCTACCACTTGGCGTTTTAGTTAATATCTGCAAACTATTCATTTTATCCTCAAAGCATATGTTCGTTTTTGATTTTTTTTGACAGAATATTTTTTTCGCACACAGATAAGAAAAAAAGGGTGAAAAATAGCACTGGTCATCATTTTTTTTTGACAATATTTGAATACCAAAAAATATTTTTCTAGTCTAAAGTAGTTCTTTGAGATATTTTTAAAATATGTTACTTTTCTGCCATTTTTCATTCAAACTCGTCTACTCCTATGCAAAAATTATTTTGTCCACTGCCAGATATAATAACAGTAATTTGTAAGACTTTATTAGTTGAGATTGTTCGTGAGCACTAATGATCTGTATTATTAAATAACTTGTTAGATGCATTATCTATTCAAAAACGACTAGTTTAGTTTTAAAAATAGGTAGAAAGTGAAAACCAATGTACTTTTGAGGATTATGAAACTAAAATTACGAGACACCACATAAAAATTGATTCTTTTTTCATCTTTGTTTAAAGGAACCGTACAGTTGCGAGCGGTTTTTTCTAAAAGAAATTTTATTGCTCGCAATCAAAGCAAAACGAAATGTTACGATAAAGTTTTCTCTCAAATAGAGAAAGAAGTCCATGTGTTGTATGCCCTTCCTTATTCTTACTCTTTTATTGATGCTATTCTATACAAAACTCTCATAGACACTACCCCATGAAAATGCTTCCTAGCCGGATAAACACGATTTCTATTTAGCAAAGAAAATACGATCGTTTACGGCCGTTTACGTCGATCGACTACGGCTGAGCATAATTTTCTGCCACTTTTATGTTCTCCCTTGTTCATTCCACTTGAACATAGAGTTTCTCGTTCAGTTAACATGATCAAATACTAGATCATTCGCTAAAATCATATATAAGCCATCATAGATGAAGAAGTATGTACTACAATCCGTGTCGAAGGAAAACAAAAACGATTTGTGCGTACAATAATTCTAGTGTCTCTCAGCTTCACCTATCTTTTTCATGGCCATATTTCACGTCAACGAAAAACTTTTTAGATACTTTTTTGTTTGATATTACATTATCCTTGTTAGAAGCCATTATGTTTTAACGTAACTTTTAAGGAACTTAAAAGTCCCTCTCCTGTCAAAAACCTATTTTTATCCCAGAACATCCGATCTTAATGAAATTATCAAAGAATATGTATTTGGCCTCAGACCGCTGTCAGTAAAATTTTAAGCTCCAACTATTTATTAGAGTTATTCTAATAATAAGGGACAAAAATCCAAGTCCAGTCATAGTCCGTGTGAAAAGCTTATCAGTCCAGACTTGGACTTGCCCATCTTTGTGCTAGAAAAATGTTCTGCAGATTATGAAGAGTTAAAATCTATACATTCCAATAAGTTCACGTTTTAGACACATACTTGACGTTCGAAGTATCGATAAGAGTCAATTCATCAAACATGTGTCTGAAAAAACCTCTTTTTAGTCTTTCTACATTGAATGTTGATGACTCGACACTACACAGTTTTCTCCGTTTTTTTTATTACTCTCTTATTTTTTAATTGTTCCGATATTTTTTAGATTAATGTAAAACCTTTCGTTGAAAACATTGATGCTTAAGTAAGATATATTAGACACAGTCTGTAACATATTTCAGTTTATAAGATGAAAATCATTGTTACAGTACTGCGTACTGATCATCTGTGTTATGCTGTATATCGACATGAACAAATAATGTTGAATAGGTTGGATCATCATCTACTTCACGCAGATGAATGTGACGATAACCTAAATGTGGAAAATGGAAAAGATTCGTTTTAATAAGAAAATATAAACGAACAATACTTTAATACCTGTTTGGATCGTTGTTAGCGGTAAACAAAAAGAGGCTAAAATATCGTCAGAACCGATTGTGTCACTATCAAAAACAACAAAGCGTACGAGGCATAACTCAGGAACGGTAATATTAAACACCATGGTCTCATTCCATACAGGATTTAATCCTGAAAGCAAATTGATTGTTTTTTCAATTATGACTTGATATAAGCTTTATTCTGACAGAATACAACCGGAAAAATATTTAATTATAGTATTCTAACGAGGGAAGGTGCCCAAGTGTGACCCTTAGTTTCGAATGGGATACATACCAGTTTGTAGAGCTCAATGAGTTGATTACGATAACATAACGCATTTTTCCCCATGGCTCCTGAAGACCTGGTTTTCTGGAAAACCAGTTTTTCAGAAACACCAGTTTTTCAGAAACACTAAAAAGTAACCAAAATCTCTCTTAACGAGGCATAATTGTAACGCGCACATTTCTGATTAAAATGAGACATCTCCCAGCTCTACATGCAAAGTTACAGAATTTACAAGAAAAGCCCTAAATTACTTTCTTCTTATTTCTGTAGCCAACAAGGAACATTTAGAGCTTTTATTGTAAATTCTATAACTTTGCGTGTAGAGCTGGGAGATGTCTCATTTGCGCGCGCTACAATTATGCCTCGTTAAGAAAGATTTGGATTAGTTTTAGAGTATCTGAAAAACTGGTTTTCCAGAAAACCTGGTCTTCAAGAGCCATGGGGGAAAATGCTTAATACCATCGTAATCAGCTCGTTGAGCTCTACAAACTGGTATGTATCCCATTCGAAACTGAGGGTCAAACTTGGTCACTTTCCCTCGTATGCTAAAATTATCGAAAAAGCATCACTTTTGTTCTACTTACCATTGTCTTCTACAACGCGTGTTTTTCTCTGTTGATAATCACTGTCTACTCCATATATAAAAACCTTAACATATGGATCAACGATATCTCTAGTCGCTACTCGTCTCGCTAAATATTGACCACTGATTATGCGAAGAGTTAATTGTTGCTTATGTGTATCAGATTCAACAAAAGGATTGAAGTCGCTATTTGCTTTAATAAATAAGAAAAGTAAGTCATCAATACATTAGATTCAAAAGAAACACATACGATTTGTAAGGATTTCAGGTTTCAACACATAACCGCAACCACCATTATCTAAAAAATATCGGAACAATTAAAAAATAAGAGAGTAATAAAAAAAACGGAGAAAACTGTGTAGTGNTTTCAGGTTTCAACACATAACCGCAACCACCATTATCTAAAAATCGGCCGTAATTTAAGGCCATGTAGTCATCGCAACCTTGATAATTCATTGCAGCTAGAATAAAATACGACGTTCTTTCAAGACAGTTTTGAACTTTCCATCGATAATTAAGCATTTATCTCTTTAAGTTTATCAAAACATATCTTAACAAATTCATACACAAAATCATATAGTTAATGAATTATATTTATATTATTGATGTGCAGACGACTTAATAGTATCGAGTGTGTTGGTCACGGTGCATACATCCTTTACAGTAGTATATTACAATAGCAAGTATAGTTCAAGTGGTTGTTTGTAGTTTACCAACGACATAAAGGTAGGTGATGTATGTCACTGCTCTTTTGAAAGATTAGATTCTTCAAAACAAGACGACGGATTT